CGGGGGAGCAAGAGGGGGGAGGAAGAGGGGTGGGGAGCAGGGATTCGCTCTGTGCAAGGCCAGCGCAGATTGGGCGGTGGGCGCACGGCTAGTGAAGTGCCCCTCCGCGGCCTGTGCTTGCGGAGCCTGCGCCTTGGGACGGACATTTTTTGGTGCCGCGTGTGCCGTTCTTGGGAGCGGTGGGTACTGGTCCCTCCGGTTCCCGGACGTGTGGGGATCCTGTCGACGCGGGCAGAGTGCTTGACACCCCCGTCCCGCGCTCCACGCCCAGCCTCCCCGCTGCTAGGGAGCGAGGCCACGTTTCCCTGCTGATGAGCCCGAGAGACCGAAGGTCAGCACGCGAGAGTGGGAGCCCTTAGCCCCAGGCCAGGAACCCCCGGTCTGCAGGTGCTGAGAGCTGTTAATAAAGGCAGTCACGTTGATGGAGAGAGAAATAGGTGAATCTTTATTGCAAACTTAAAAACATTTTATTGTGAATACTTTCAAACATACATTAAGTAGAGAAAATTAAAAACGAATCCTCTTTTACCCATCACCCAGCTTCAAAACTTCAATATTTTTTAAAATATATATTTTTTCTTTTCATTTTTTAATTGTTTTATTGCCTAAAGTATTACAAAGAGTATTACATATGTCTCCTTTTTTTCCCCGCCCTTGACAATCCCCTGGCCTCCCCTATCCCCCAGTGTCTTATGTCCATTGGTTATGCTTATATGCATGCATACAAGTCCTTTGGTTGACCTCTTACCCCCTCCCCCTCGCCCCCCAACCCTCCCCGGCTAAAATATATTTTTATTGATTTCAGAGAGGAAGGGAGAGAGAGAGAGAGAAACATCAATGATGAGAGAGAATAATTGATTGGCTGCCTCCTGCACGCTCCCTACTGGGGATTGAGGGTGCAACCCAGGCATGTGCCCTTGACCGAAATCAAACCCGGGACCCTTCAATCCGCAGGCCAGCGCTCTATCCACTGAGCCAAACCAACCAGGGCAAAACTTGAATATTTTTGCCATTCTTTTCTCAACTATTCTCTGCCCCACTTTTACCTCCTCACCCTTTCCCTTTACCCCTCCCCCTCCTCCTTTTTTGCTTAATTATTTTAATGTGAATCCCAGGCATCCTATCATTTTGCCTGTAAATACTTCATTATGTACCTCTACAGCAGTGGTTCTCAGCCTTCCTAATGCCGCGACCCTTTAATACAGTTGCTCATGTTGTGGTGACCCCCAACCATAAAATTATTTTCGTTGCTACTTCATAACTGTAATTTTGCTACTGTTATGAATCGTAATGTAAATATCTGATATGCAGGATGTATTTTCATTGTTACAAATTGAACATAATTAAAGCATAGTGATTAATCACAAAAACAATATGTAATTATGTGTTTTCCGATGGTCTTAGGCGACCCCTGTGAAAGGGTCGTTAGACCCCCAAAGGGGTCGTGACCCACAGGTTGAGAACCGCTGCTCTACAGGATATTGGCCTTGACATCTGTTCCTAAACAGCCCCAATTGTCCTGCTCTGTCCTGTGCAGGAACTTGAAAGAGGGTGAGGCCTGTGCTGAAGAGGTTTAGACTGTCAGAAGAATGTAAATGTTTCTAGAACCAAATGCCTTAAATCTGTTCTCATCTTTCTTCTTAAAAAAAAAAAAAAGTGTTTTAAAAACAGTGAATTCGAATGATTACTAAGTATTACAGACTGTTGTGTGGGGCTTTAAAAAAATAAATGACAATTTCTGCTTATCTTAGATTTAAAAAAACTGGTAAATACACAACAAAATTTATTATCTTAACCATTTAAGCATACAGTTGAATATTGTTTGAGCATGTTCACATTGTTGTGCAACCAGAAGGGGGGCATGGGAGGTGGTGCGTATGGAGGTCAGGGAGGGAGAGGGGTTGGGGTGGTGAGTGTGTAGACAGTAATTTCCGTCTTGGTAATCTGAGGGTATCAGTGGGTTTCATTACAGCAGTGACTTACGCACACTCGCAGAAAATGCAGCTAAAGAGTCAAAGTGTGGCACTTAGAATATCGGGGCCCGTTTCATTTTGCAAGCAGGGGATCAAGGCCTGGGAAGGTGAGCTGATATGCTTGATGCCACACAGCAAGGTGGCAACAGGGCTAAGATTGGGAGCAGGTCCCCTGGATCCCTGGCATCCCTGCCACCCAACAGTGCCACCAGTGGAGATCCCAGAGCAGAATAAGCTGACCGGGCCAGGGAGGGGTCAGATAGGAGGAGGGTCTCAGGTGCAGGCCATGAGCTAGAAAGGGACAGAAAGTGGGAGGGAAGGCAGAGCCTTGGGAAAACATTTTGGAAACTGTGGCAGGAGTGGGGATGTCCCCAAAAGAAGGTGTGCTGTGCCAGTTAACCGACTATGATGTTCCTGCAGGGAAGGACTTTAACTGGAGGCCTAGGGGCCTAGAGGGTAATCGTATATCCCTTCTAGTACATGGTGGGAGCAGGAGTCACTGAGGTGGCTGCAGGGGGAACAGGGCATAAAGGGGACAGGCATGAAGACATCACCGAAGAGGAGGGCAGGTGTGGCTACAAGTGGCCCTCTGGTGCCTCCAGGTGGAGCTGCTGTGAGTCTCCTCTATGGAGGGAGGGGTCAGTCTCTTGCTGTCCCTCTGGGTCATAGTTCTCAGCCAGAGGGTGGGCCCTGCTGCCCAGGGAGCCCATGTCACACAGGGTGCTGCCCGTGGTCACCCTGCTGAGGCTGTGGGAGCTGTAACGTCGTCTGTGGCCACGGCACCGGGTTCCCAAGCACAGGGCTTCCCGGAAGGTGTCCTGGAAGCGGCTGGACATGAGGCTGTAGAGCACGGGGTTGGCAGCAGAGCCGAGATAGAAGAAGACGCCAGAGATGATGTGTACATACTTGTAGGCCACGAGCAGGCACTCGGTCGAGGGGGACACGAAGCTCCACATGAGACGTTCGATATGGAATGGGGCCCAGCAGATGCCAAACACCAGGACCAGCACAACTGTAGGGGCAGAGAAAGGAGACTGGGTGCTGCTCCAGTTTAGTCTGCTCATTCTCACCTCCCCTCCTATTCCACAGGCTACCCATGCCCACTGTCCATCTGGAAGTTTCTGGAAGTTCGCCTGCCCTGGCCACACCCTTTCAGAGAGGCTGCTCTCACTTCTGTCACTGAGTGGGCAGTGGGTGTGTGCCCTGCCCCTGGCCACAGCCCACTGGGCCAGGCGTGGGCACTTGAGCCAAGCTGGCCCAGCCCGACTATCTCACCATGGAGCTTGGAACTAGGTGACTCTAAGCTCTGGACACTAAGCCCCAGCGTGTTGCAGACTGTGCGGCTAAGGCCCACCCTGGGTGCCCACTTGGGGACAATGCTTACTGTTGGGTAAGCAGAGAGAAGCAGAAGAATGGGGCCCATGCTCAGACAGCAGTAGATGGAGGTTAAGGGGCCAGAGAAAACACAAACACCTCCCCTTGTCTGCCTTGGCCCCAGAGCCTTCCCAGCCCCAGCCACCAGCTCTCCAAGGCCCAGCTGAATATCCTGCCCTGTACTAACTGCTGTCTTCTTGAGATCCCATCCCCTACCATCCAGCAAAAGACAGGACAGGTTGGCCAAGCCCTCACTCTTTCTCCCCAGCTTCCTTCCAGCCCTAGTCTTAACCAGCCATGACCTTCTTGGGTCTCTGTCACAGGATCTGCCTTGATTTAAAAAAAATTTTTTTAAATTGATTTCAGAGAAGAAGGGAGAGAGAGAGAGAAACATCAATGATGAGAGATAATCATTGATTGGCTGCCTCCTGCATGCCCCCTATTGGGGATCAAGCCCACAATCCAGGCATGTGCCCTTCATCAGAATCGAACCCGAGACCCTTCAGTCCACAGGCCTACGCTGCCGACACTCTATCCACTGAGCAAAGCCAGCTAGGGCTGCCTTGATTTTTGTTTCTTATTTCTTGTGTTTGTTTAGCTGACTATCTTTCCCCTGCAGTGTCAGCCTAGTGTGGTTTTGCTCGTAATCCCAGATTCCAATGTCCCCAGCACACAGTCTGCTGCACAGTAGGCCTTCAGAAAGTGAAGGTGGGGGAAGGAGGAAGGGAGGGATGGAGAGAGAGAAGAAAGCCAGAGTCCCAGGCCAGCAACCAAGGTGGCTTTAAGGAAACATCTTCCCTGCCCTCCTGCCCAGGGTGAGAACTATGCCAGCTGAGCAGAC